TTTAGCCTAGAGAGGGTGAGACCAGGCTGCTCCTTGGAGGCAAAGATTCTGAAGCTTCATTTGACATATTTAGGACATGTTGCAAGGCGGGACAAGCCCTTGGAGAGGGACGTCATGCTTTGGAGAGTGGAAGGACAGCATAAGACAGGAAGACCTTAATGAGATGGATGGATTCAGTGACTGGGATAATAGAGGTAGGTGTGTCAGAGACAGTAAGATTGGCATAGGCTAGAGCAGGGTTTAGGGCTGTTGTACATAGGGTCACTATGGGTCACAGGCAACTCCATGGCACATAACTACAGCAATAACAATCTATCATTAGCAATTTCGGGTACAGTGCGTGTCTATCAGAGGCTATACTAAAGCAGAGCTCCCAAATTAAGTCAGACTAGGAAGGAGGACTGGCCATCCACTTCTGAAATATCAGACCTTTGAAAACTCTATAAAGTAATTCTGTCTTCTGAGATTTCTAAGTTGGTCAACACATGATGCTAACTAAAGACAATGGGGCCATGCTCTCCATTGCCTCTATTGCATGGCCTCACACTATATGCCCTGAATGACAGGGTTTGTTTTCTTTTTTTTTCATCCCTGGGTGGGCATGAGAATCACAGCTTTTTATACACACCAAAAAAAAAAAGAAAGAGAAGGATTAATACATCAGTCTTACTATAAAAGCTCCTTAACTTCTTCATTTCTTCCCTTTGCTTTGGCTTCTCAGCTCTCTCGTACAATATTCAGAGTCTCTTCTGACATCCACCTCGGTTTTTCTTTCCTCCTCTGTCTTTACAATGATGTTTTTTATTCTTCATGGATAATATTCCTGATATTACTCCAGAGTTCATCTGCTCTTTGTTCATTAGCGTTCAAGGCCACAAACTTGTTCTTGAGATGATTTTTAAATTCAGGTGGGATAGACTCAAGGTCAAATTTTGCTTTTTATTAATCTGATTTTCTTTTATGGAGCTTCAGTTTGAAACTGCATGAGTAGTTAATGGTCTGTTCCACATTCAGCACCTGGCCTAGTTTTCACAGCTGACATTGAGCTTCTCCATCAATTCATTCCACAATCTGATTCTTGTGTAGACCATCAGGTGAGGTCCTTGGGTACAGTTTTCATCTGTGTTTCTTATAAAAGAAAGGGAAGGAATGAGGAAGTTAAGCAGCTTAATAGAAGATTTCAAAGGGCAGCTTGGGAAAACAAAGCAAAGTGTTATAATGAAATATGCAAAGAGGTCAGAAAAATAAAAAGGGATGAACTTGATCAGCATTTCTTAAGCTCAAGGAATGAAAGAAAAAATTCAAGCCTCAAGTTGCAATACTTAAAGATGCTTTGGGATCTTTTCTCTCTCTTTTTCTGCTGGCAGCACACTATAAGATTTGGGTTCACCCCCATCTTTCCAGAGGGTTCTTCCCTCTTTTTACTTTTTACTTCTTCTTTTCACGTTAACTCTTTTGCATGGCCTATTTTTCACTAGCTATGCCTCTGTATTATTCTTCTAATAAATCTTTTTCAGTCATTTTGCTAAAAAAATGCTATGGGTAGAATACTGGATGATCAAGGTAGCACGAAAAGAAAATGGAGGTAGTACACAGAGACACTGTACCAAAAAGAATTGGCTGACACAGAAGAATTAATGAAACAACAGATGACCAAGAGGCAATTGTGATGGAGGAAGTTCAAGTTGCTCTGAATGAGTTGGCAAAAAGCAAGGTCCCAGGAACTGACAGCACACCAGTTAACATATTTCAGCAAACAGATTCTGCCTGGATATGCTCACCAGATTCTGCCAAGAAATCTGTAGGAAAACTATCCAGCCAACATACAGGAAGAGATCCATACTTACGCTAATTCCCAAAAAAGTTATCCAACAGGTGTGGAAATTATCAAATAGTATCACTAATATCACATGCAAGCAAACTCTTGCTGAAGATTATTCAAAAACAACTGGAACAGTACACTGAGAACTACCAGAAATACAAGCTGGGTTTAGAAGAGGCCATAGCACTAGGGACACATCATTGCTAATGTCAGATGGATAATGCTGAAGACAAAGAGTACCGGAGGGAATGTCTATTTGTGTTTCATTAACTATGCAAAGGCATTTTACTGTGAGGGTCACAACAAATTATGGCTAACCTTAAGAAGAATGGGAATCCCAGAACACTTGATTGTGCTCATGAGAAACCTATACTTAAAATAGGAAGCAGTCATTAGAACAGAGCAAGGAAACACTGCATGGTTCAAAATCAGGAAAGAAGTAAGTCAGGGATGCATCCTGTCTCCATACCTTTTCAATCTATATGTCGAACAGATCATTTGGGAGGCTGGTCTTTATGAGAAGGAATCTGGAATCAGAATTGGATAAAGGCTCAACAACAACACTTGCGTTATGCAGATGACACAACCTGGAAAAGGTCAAGGACTGCAGTCTTCAAAATGGATTGAAGCTCAACATCAAGAAAACAAAGATTCTCACCCCTGGGCCAATTGGCAGCACCATGATAGATGGAGAAGAGATTGAGATTGTTAACAATTTCAGCTTGCTTAGATCTACAATCAACACTCTTGACACCAGCAACCAAAATCAAAAGACAAATAGGATTAGGAAAGTCTAGACCTCTCCAGAGTGCTAAAGAGCAAAGATATCAGTCTAGACTAGGTGTGCCTGATCCAGGCCATGGTCTGCAATTACTTGCTATGCATCTGAGAGTTGGACAATGACTAAGCGTGAAAGAAGAATTGATGCCTTTGAGTTCTGGTTCTGGAGAAGAGCACTGAACATACCATGGACTGACAAGAGAACAGGTCTGTCCTGGAAAGGGTGAACCAAGTCGCTCTCTGTAGACAAGGATTTTGAAGCTCCATGTTGCCTGGTGGGATCAGTCCTTGGAGAAGGACATCATGACTGGCAGGGTGGAGAGATGACACAGAAGAGGAAGATCTTGGGTAAGATGGATAGACACAGTGACTGGGGTAACAGGAGTAAGTGTGTTGGAGACAGTGAGATTGGCTCAGGATAGGATAGGGTTCAGAGCTACTGTGCATAGGGTTGCTATGAGTCTCAGGCAACTGAAGAGCACGTAACAACATTATAAAAACTATTCAAAACTGCTTATCTTTAGAAAATATATAAAGCAGAAAGAAAAGTTTTTAAAGAACATAAAACTATATATATGTTGTTATAGTTAGGTGTTGTTGAGTGGAGTATGACTAATACCAAGTCCATGAACAACAGATCTGAACCCTGTCCTATCCTGTTTCATCCTTGCAGTCTCTGTCATCCATGAGTTCACTGTTACAGTCACTGTGTCAATCCACCTGGTCAATCCACCTGGTTGATGGTCATCCTCTCTTTTTCTAACCCTTTTCTTTTTCACCTTTCCAAGCATGATATCCCTCTCCAAGGACCAGCCTCTCCTAACATGTCCAAAGTTTGTGAGGACAAAGTTTGTTGGTTTTGCCTCCAAGAAGCACTCTGGTTGCACCTTCTCCAAGACCTATCTTTTCATTCTGGTAGTCTATGGGATACTCTGTACTCTTTTCCAAATCCAAAGTTGAAATGCCATCAATTCTTCTTCTGTTATCCTTTATTCACTGTCCAGCTCTCAGAAGCATAGCAAGTGATTGAAAAGACTATGGCCTGTATCAGGCTCACCTTATCCTCAATAATTTGGAGAGGTATTTGACTGCAGACTTTACCAAATCAATAGGTCTCCTGATTTTCTGGCTGCTAGTACCAATGGTGTTGACTATGGATTCAAGTAAGATGAAGTCATTGACAGTTTCAATCTTTTCTCCATGTATTATGATGCTGCCTAGTGGTGAGAATGTTTATTTTGTTGACGTCGTAGACGTAGATCTTATGGTCTTAGAGAAACCAAGGACTGGCAAAGGAAGGAAGTATCTTCTATATCCTGTGCCCTTCTCCATAAAAAAAAGATATATAAAATGTCAGTTATATGGTAAATGCATATAGAGAGGGTAAGAAATAAATATACTAAACCACCAATGGAAAAAATTTAAATTTTACTTTATACTTTCAAATTTTTTTCCAATAAAACATTTTAAACTATCTTTACAGTTATTTTTAAATTAACATTTATATCCATTTAATAAAATCATTACTTTTTTAAAGCTCTGAAAAGAACTCTATAAAACTAAAATTAACCTTGTCCAGACACAATCTTTGACGTATTAAAGAAAAGGCTGCCATGCTGAAGATCCATCGTTTCTCCCCTCAATTTGTCTGCTTCAACATCAACAAGGGCAAGTTCATCAGCCAAATCCTAAAATACATGAAAGTTCTGAATAAATGTCCTGAAGAATGCTCTTGAGTTTTAGGACAATGAGAAGAAAGTTTGTGTTTCTATTTTATAATAGCTAATTATTTGTAATCTCTCTCTTATTGCCATCAAGTTGGAATCGATTCACAACTGACTCTCCGTTGGGTTTCTGAGATTGTAAACAGCACAGGAGATTGTCCATCATTTTCTCAAGGAGAGGCTGATGGACTCAAGCCACCAGAGGCTCAGCCTTTCAGTTAGCTGAACAACTCCCTACAGACTATGCCACTGAGTTCCTCATTATTTATAATAGAAAATTTAAATAAAAATACTAGTTTGTTAACGCATTGAGGATGACCATAAGAAGTTTTGGTGGCACAGTGGTTAAGCATTCAACTGCTAATCAAAGAGCTGGCAGCTTGTATCCACCAGCTTCTCCATGGCAGAAAAGGGGGATAGTCAGCTTCGATAAAGACTTGCAACCTTGAAATCTCTATGGGCTGTCCTATTCACTCCTATATATAAGAGAGCTAAGAATTGGAATTAACTTGACAGCAACAGGCCTGGCTTTGATTTAGAGTGATCAGAAATCTAGCCAAATAATATTGTTGCTCTTGTTAGTTGCCACTGAGACAACCACAACTTATGAACAATGGATTTTAACTTTGCCCTATCCTGTACTGTCCTCATAATCTCTGATACCATCTTTTATATACTTAAGCCCACTTTGTTACAGTCACTGTGCAAATCCATCTCACTGAGAGTTTTTCCTCTCTTTCCCTGACCCTTCACCTTCCCAAGTATGATGTCCTTTTCCAAGGACCAGTCTCTCCTAAAAACACACCCTAAATATGTGAGATGAAGCTTAAATATCCTTGCCTCCAAAGATACCCTGGCTGCACTTTCTCTAAGATATATTTGTTTGTTCTTTTGGAAGTATATAGGATATTCAATACACTTCACCACCACCACAATTCAAAGGCATCGATTCTTCTTTTGTCATCCTTAGTCACTGTCAAACTTTCAGATCCATAAGTAACTGAAAATAGCTTGAATGAGATACACAATAGCATTTATCAACTAGAAACCATTTTGCTTTTACAGATTAGCTACAATTTTGATAACTACACTTTTCCCTTAAAAGAACATTTTAAATCAACAAAAAGCAATGAAATTCTTTCAAATAATTTCACGATATTTAACGTTTATTAAATTTTATTAATTTTAATATGATTTGGCTATAAATGCTTTTAACTACACATCCTCATGATCAGTAAGCACAGAAAGGTACCTACCCATTGTTGTTTCTGTTATGTGTCTTTCAATCAGCTCCAACATTCAGTAGCTCTGTACAACAGGATGAAACCCTGTTCAACCCTGTGTTGCCCACACAATCATTGTTATGCTTGAGCACATTGTTGCAGCAGTTGGATCAATCCATCCAGCATCTTCGATTTTTCACTGATCCTCTATTATACCAAGTACAATGTGATTCTACTAACACCCAAAGTATACGAAACAATGTCTTGTGGCCCATGCCTCCAACAATCATTATGGCTACCCTTCTTCCAAGGTAGTTTTGCTGGTTCTTTGGAAGACTACAGAATATTCTATATTATTCCCCAAAACATACCTGAAAACCAACAGTAACTCTTCTGTCTTTCTTACTCATTATTCAAATTTCACGTACATCTGAGACAGTTGAAAAGGGTAGGGTCAAGCACATCAAATGGCAACCTGTCCTGTGAACACTAAATCTGCTGCCAAAGACATCATTTGATTTTTGGACTGCTGCTTCAATGGATGATGGTTGTGAAGTGAAATGAAATACTGGAAAATTTTAATCTTTTCTCTATTTGTCATGATGTTGTTTATCAGTCCAATTGTGAGAAATTTTATGTTGAGGTGTAATCAGCCCTGAAGGAGCTATATAGAGACAGATGTAGTCTTTGATCTTCATCAGTAAGTGCTTTAAATCCTCTTCACTTTCAGCAAGCACAATTGTGCCACATGCATAATGCCAATTGTGACTGAGTCTTCCTCTAATCCTGATGAGTATTCTGCTTCATCTAGTCCAGCTTCTTGGATTATTTACTCATCATGCAAGTTTTTTAAAGTATAGTCAAAGTATGGAACCCTGACATACACCTTTCTTGATTTTAAACCAGGCAATATGCCATTGTTCTATTAAAATGACAGGTTCTTGGTTTATGTACATGTTCTACATGAGAACATATAAGTGTTATGAAATTCCATTCTTTACTATGTTAAGTCATAATTAGTTTTGATCTACATAGGTAAAAATCTTCATTAGTCTGTACTTTTAGCCGAGATCCATCCAAAGTCAACAATGATATCCCTCATTATATATCCTCTTTTGAATCCAGTTTGTATTTATAGTTTCTTGTGGATGTACTGCTCACAGTAGTTTTTAAATTATCGTTGTTGTTGTTAAGTGTGATATTAGTGACATTTCTACAACATGTTTCAAGACGCTTCTTTGGAATGGGCACACACATGAATCTCTTCAGTTTTCCAGGTAGCTGTTTTTCAAATTTCTTATCATAGATGAGTGAATACATCAAGTGTTGCAACCATTTGCTAAAACAGCTCAATGACTATTCTGCTTCTGAAAGTAAGTTGTCCTGCAACCCAACTTCAAGAACTTGATTCAACCATCAGTGAGATATGCAAAGAAACAGTTCGCATTAGAGCCCACAGGTTGCTTCAAGTCAATAAATTATATGAGTTATATTGTATTATTCCTCTTCACTTTCTATTTATGCCACAATCACATCAACATGACCTGAAACAAGGTCCCTCTGCTTCACTTGACTATCTACCAGAGTACAGTGGATTCTAGGAGGAAAAAAACCCACAAGTACTTGCTGTTGAGTGGATTACAGCTCATTGTTCCTCCACAGAACAATTTCTAGAGTTTACAGAACAATTTACAGATTTGTGATGGAAATGATCCTTCAGAAGTGTATCACTGTGCCTTTATTCTGAGAAGACTGAGCAGATTCAAACCACTAGCCTTCTATTTAGCATCAGACAACTGACCCATCAACCACTCCACTTGGATTCTTAAAAGTAAATGGCTTCCAACTACTGGCTTTCTCCCTTATAGTTAGTTATATGATGTTGTTGTTGTTGTTGTTGCTATGTGCCATCGAGTCGCCTGTGACTCATAGTGACGCTATGTACAACAGCCCTAAACTCCGCTCTGTC